ATGGCCCCCACCCGCCGCCCAGGGGTGGGTGCCGGGGGGGGGCAGTAGGTCCCCCCCCATTCTCATTATGGCCCCCACCCGCCGCCCAGGGGTGGGGGCCGGGGGGGGGCAGTAGGTCCCCCCCCTAATTCTCACTATGGCCCCCACCCGCCGCCCAGGGGTGGGGGCCGGGGCAGTAGGTCCCCCCCCCATTCTCATTATGGCCCCCACCCGCCGCCCAGGGGTGGGGGCCGGGGGGGGCAGTAGGTCTCCCCCCCCTTATTTTATTTTAGGGCCCCCACCCGTGGTTTAGGGGTGGGGGCCAATAGTTTTTTTTTACAGTGCGCAGCCACAGGCTGCTCACTGTTTACCAGACATGCCCCTACTCGCGGTATAGCGAGTAGGGGCATTTAATTTACTAATACTAAGTAATCTTTACTTAGTATTAGTAAAGTTGGCTGTTAGACCAATTTAGGTCTTTCAGCCTTTTAGTAGATAACTCCCTGATACCGTGGGAATTAGGGAATTATCTACTAAGCGGCTGCAAAATGCAGCCACAGCACGAATAGGATCAGAGTTTCATTCATTAGAATGAAATTCCGATCCGAATAAAGTGCCGAATTGCGTTCTAAAAGAAACGAACAGACTGTTCTCATTCAGTTAGAACGCAATTCGGCAGTTTTGTGGAAAGTGACAGGAAGCATTGTGGGAACACAGAGGAAAGCTAGGGATCATGGGAAAATTGCTCTGACCGGCGGAAATGAAGCACACTTTGCTCCTCCGCTGGTCAGAGCTGGTCAAGCGGAGGAATCCTCCATAAGGCAAAGAGTCCCTACTTTGTCTTATGATTTTAAAGAAAACTAAAGAAGATAGGAAGAAAAGAATAACAGATCCTGAGAGAGGGGGAGAAGAGGAAGAGATTGAGGAAAGGTAAGTTCGGCATGACAGTGCCGCTTTAAACTACACACGTAAAATACAAGCTTACATGCCCGTGTGGACTGGTTTATGTCGGGAAAACCGAAACAGCCCTATGTGAAAGAATTAGAGGCCACCGTTCTAGTATTAGACTGGCCTACAGGGACGGAACATCTGACAAACCAGTAGCTAATCACTTCCTGCAGCATAAACATCCGCTGACCTCCTTGAAGTTCCTGGGCATAGACCACGTCCCTTTATCGCGAAGAGCAGGAGATCGAGGGAAAACATTGCTAAACAGAGAAGTATATTGGATCTCTGAACTCGATGCGGTGTCTCCTAAAGGACTCAAGGAAAAAATCTCTTTCCATTCCTTGCTATGAATATTAATCCCAGCTTGAATTTTAGATTATAGAATTAAATATGTTTTTATATTTTCAATATTTGGCCAGTATTGGCCATAACAGTATATAGTAACTGGGTTCCCTATGTTATATACGTTATTGTAATTCAAGGGCATATACCTTTAAAATAATCAATAGTTCAATACTATTGTAGGGTTGTCCTATTGTATTTATAGACATTTAGGTTTTATACACCTTTAATCTCTGGGTATTTCTATCCATGGAAGTATATTTATATTATGAGATATGCTCACCATTTACTATATCTTGAAACACTGTATATTTTACTTATGCTATACAACTTTTGTTGCACAGTTACTTATATACATTATTGTAAACAAGTAAAGGTATATTTGGATTTTTTTCACTTTTTTCACTTTGGCACTTTACACAACAACATCTTGCATTTTAGTTGGTTGGTACTAAGCACTTTTTCCAAATATATGCACTTTAAATTAAATAACATAACTTGGTAGTATTACCAGTGTTAATCACTATACTGTCACTTTAAATGATGCACTTCTCTAAGTAAGTGAATGAGTTTCCATGATTAAGCACTAAGGCAACTAAGAATTATAGCTCTATTTATTTACTCTTTAGCACATTACACTTTGTATTTAATATACTACACATCCTCTTTTAACATCATCTATTAGAGTCTCAGAAAGAGTATTATATTACACACACTCATGCAATCACTCAATGTTATTGTTCCCTCATCTCCATAGTGACGCTGTGTGTGCCACATCGCCATGGTAACGGATGCAATAACGGCACGCCGCGACGTCACGTGGGGGTGGAGCTTCACTGCACATGCGCACTGGGACCACTAGAACGTCGTTCTGAGATGCACTTCACCTGGGGTAAGCTAATTTGGTTAATGTATTTACCTATATAAGTCTGTATTGTTGGTTCTCTATTTGTATTGATCGTGAAGAAAGTCCTATACAGAGGACTGAAACGTTGATCATGATTTTAAAGATTACTTATTAAATATTGGATTTTTTAACTCCGTGAGTGCTGCTATCTCTTTGGATATTTGGATAACAAAGCCCTGGCATACTAGCACCCGGCAACCAAGGGACATTTAAAGCGTGAGTGTAAGAGCATTTTTCTTTTTCTTTATATATATATATATATATATATATATATATATATATATATATATATATATATATATATATATATATATATATATATGTGTATATACAGTTGCAAGAAAAAGTATGTGAACCCTTTGGAATGATATGGGTTTCTGCACAAATTGGTCCTAAAATGTGATCTGATCATCATCTAAGTCAAAACAATAGACAATCACAGTCTGCCTAAACTAATAACACACAAAGAATGAAATGTTGCCATGTTTTTATTGAACACACCATGTAAACATTCAGAGTGCAGGTGGAAAAAGTATGTGAACCCCTAGACTAATGACATCTCCAAGAGCTAATTGGAGTGAGATGCCAGCCAACTGGAGTCCAATCAATGAGATGAGATTGGAGGTGTTGGTTACAGCTGCCCTATCAAAAACACACACCAGTTCTGGGTTTGCTTTTCACAAGAAGCATTGCCTGATGTGAATGATGCCTGGCACAAAAGAGCTCTCAGAAGACATACGATTAAGAATTGTTGACTTGCATAAAGCTGGAAAGGGTTATAAAAGTATCTCCTTGCTGTTCATCAGTCCACGGTAAGACAAATTGTCTATAAATGGAGAAAGTTCAGCACTGCTGCTACTCTCCCTAGGAGTGGCCGTCCTGTAAAGATGACTGCAAGAGCACAGCGCAGACTGCTCAATGAGGTGAAGTAGAATCCTAAAGTGTCAGCTAAAGACTTACAAAAGTCACTGGCAAATTGCTAACATCCCTGTTAGCGAATCTACAATACGTAAAAGACTAAACAAGAATGGATTTCATGGGAGGATACCACAGAGGAAGCCACTGCTGTCCAAACAAAACATTGCTGCACGTTTACAGTTTGAACAAGAGCACCTGGATGTTCCACAGCAGTACTGGCAAAATATTCTGTGGACAGATGAAACCAGTTGAGTTGTTTGGAAGAAATACACAACACTATGTGTGGCAAAAAAAAGGCACAGCAGACCAATATCAAAACCTCATCCCAACTGTGAAGTGTGGTGGTGGGGGCATCATGGTTTGGTGCTGCTATGCTGCGTCAGGGCCTGGACGGATTGCTATCATAGAAGGAAAAATGTATTCCCAAGTTTATCAAGACATTTTGCAGGAGAACTTAAGGCCATCCGTCTACCAGCTGAAGCTCAACAGAAGATGGGTGTTGCAACAGGACAATGACCCAAAGCATAGAAGTAAATCAACAACAGAATGGCTTAAACAGAAGAAAATACGCCTTCTGAAGTGGCCCAGTCAGAGTCCTGACCTCAACCCGATTGAGATGCTGTGGCATACCTCAAGAAAGTGATTCACACCAGACATCCCAAGAATATTGCTGAACTGAAACAGTTCTGTAAAGAGGAATGGTCAAGAATTACTCCTGACCGTTGTGCACGTCTGATCTGCAACTACAGGAAACGTTTGGTTGAAGTTATTGCTGCCAAAGGAAGTTCAACCAGTTATTAAATCCAAGGGTTCACATACTTTTTCCACCTGCACTGTGAATGTTTACATGGTGTGTTCAATAAAAACATGGCAACATTTCATTCTTTGTGTGTTATTAGTTCAAGCAGACTGTGATTGTCTATTGTTGTGACTTAGATGATGATCAGATCACATTTTATGACCAATTTGTGCAGAAATCCATATCATTCCAAAGGGTTCACATACTTTTTCTTGCAACTGTATATTTGATTTTAAACTGTGTTT